GTGATTGATACCTCCCATAAAGCTTTCTAAAATCCTCATCATTCCAGTAGAAGCGCTTTGATCAATCGAAGTTCCTAATATTCCCAATTTTTCAAATCGACAAGTGGCCTGAACCATAAACTGAGAGCTTTGAGCACCGACTTAAAGGGTGAACAGCGCCAAATATTCTCTTTGAACTCCTATCACCCAATTATTTGAGATCATTTGCTTCTACTCAGAAGCTTGCCCTCTTCACCTTGCGTGGGTGATAGGAGCTTGAGAGCATGCGATTTTACCATAGCCGGGAGGTAAGCCGAAGGTGAAGACCGTGTTTTCATCCCCAATTGTACTAGGATAAGTAAGTACCATCCTCCTCAAAAAAAAGTCTGTTCGAGGGAAACGGAGTGCACTCAAAGTGTTGCCAAAAACCGGTCCAAGTTGCACTCCACTGTAGACAACTCAGTAACTCAGGTCGTTATTTTGCAGTTTGGGCTGCAATTTGGGCCAGCATTCAGTTTTCATAAGAGCGGCAGCTAGTCCTTCACACTGATCAAGAAGAATGAAGCTGGCCCTGAACTACAGATCCCGTGAGGGGCCATTGGATCATGGTTTCGACCAAATGACCATCGAATTTTGACTTGATCAAACTTATTGAGGTTGTTTCTGGGTAAGAACCATCTTGGCAGAAACAAGTGGTATCAGTCAGCACTAATCTGCACTAAAGGGTGTCCTACGTGACATTCCAGTGAAATTTCTCAGATTTTTGATGACTGTCTGATGACGCATATCAAAATTATTTTTTTTATTTATGTATAAATCTTTGAAACCAAAAAGTCGATTACAATCATAATACTCCCATATAATCTATCTTTACCTATGGGATTTGCTAAAATGGGGACCCAGGTTGGAGTCAGCGCGCCGGAATACGATACGGGGCGAACCCCGGACTTCTTCGGGATATTTATAAATGTGGGGAAAAACATGAAGGCCTGTACGTGTTCAAGAGTTTTCTTTGAGTGAAGCAGAAAATTGACTGCCGAACCTTTTTTACCTCGACGCTGTAATATCGTTCGGTTGTCTTTGCAACAGGCTGAGCTTGGTGGATTGCCCGAAGCGCCAGAAACTATGCAGATGGCAGGGTTTTTCTGGTAGCACGTGACAGACCATCCACGTCAGTTGGATCGTTTTCTGATCGCACTTTGCTGTAGTGTTTACCACGCACGATAGGCTCGTTCACTCCCCCTGTTCATTCGAACTCTTCGTGCACTCACCAACCGGACTCTTCACACCATTGTCCTCCCTGGTGTCTTATCTCGGAACATTCATTGAATAGTTTTTAGCATGTTCTCAATTAACCACGTAAAATAGGACGCTTTATGGTTGCGAGACTTGTTGGAAACACGCCAGAAACTCGCCTCACTCGAAAAATCCTCAACTACAGAACCCTCAGCTGAACCTGTAAATTACGGGAGGAGGGGCAGTTCCGATTCCTAGGTACTCCACATTTTCCGTAAGCCGTTCCTGATTCATCAAAACTTAGTTGGAAATCTAAAAAATGGCTTCATAGTGACAGACTCTTGGAAAGGTTCGAAGTTTCGGACTGGCAAATCTTTCGAAAGTACGGTCTCTCCAGGGCTTCAAGTGTGAGCTGCTTACTTTATAACTTCACAGTTGTCATTTGCTAAACAATAAAACTATTCCACATGGCTGTCTAGCTTTTCCGTTGGTCACGAACAACACATTCACGCGGTAGATTGATTCACTGGAGTTTTAGCCTGCTATGATATTTGTGGCGTAAAGGCCATGTGCCGTTAGACCAACATATTTCTTCTGATTCTGAACAACGTAGACATCAGACAAATTCTGTCATTTATACTCCTCTCTGAAAAAGGTCTGCTTTTGNTCTCCAGGGCTTCAAGTGTGAGCTGCTTACTTTATAACTTCACAGTTGTCATTTGCCAAACAATAAAACTATTCCACATGACTGTGTAGCTTTTCCGTTTGTGACGAACAACACATTCACGCGGTAGATTGATTCACTGGAGTTTTAGCCTGCTATGATATTTGTGGCGTAAAGGCCATGTGCCGTTAGACCAACATATTTCTTCTGATTCATGAACAACGTAGACATCAGACAAATTCTGTCATTTATACTCCTCTCTGAAAAAGGTCTGCTTTTGTTCCTTTTATTTTTAGTAATTAAATTTGATTGAATTTGAAAGTTGTGGCAGTGCCAATCAATGCGGAACCGTTAGAACGCCCCGGGGCCAGAATACCGGCTTGATACTCGCTCTTGCTAAGGCCTTCCATTGTCCTAATTGATACCAGACTCGTCTGGACGGATGAGAGCGGTTACATGAACATTGGCAGTGTACCACAAGCCTTTCCACAGGCCGCATTCAAGACGTGATCCTGAATAGGAAGGAAACTCTAGGCGCATCCTAGAACAGGATTAACCGTTCCCTTTTTCCTAGATGCCTGAAGATGTTAGGAATACTTTTATTTTTAATGAAAACCCTGTAGGGAAAAATCGATTTTTTTGATCGTTCCCGTGGCTGTTGTCAATTTCATCATAGTCGACAGAATGAATCCCAATGAGAAAAAGTTGCACTCTTCCACGAGGAATCGCTTGTTTTTGGTGGAAATGTGAAGAGATTGCAACGTTGACATCGGCATTTTTCCTCTGCTCGTTCATTTGATCAGAGTAGCATCGTGTTGAACAAACAAAAACTATTCACTGAAGAATATTGCCATCTATGGGGTTTATTTGAGTTCTGCTAAAGTGTAGTGGCTGAAAAGAGCTCCTTAATTCTCTTTGGAGAGCACGTGTTACTAAACCGGTCTACGAGTACGTTTCCTCGAACGTTTTTCAGTTCCAAAGTACAGTGAGTTTCAAAATTACTCAGAAATGAATCTGAAAAAAAAGTTGTTTAAAGAAAAAGGTTTTAGAAGAGTTTGATCGGGTTTCTATTTTTTTTTNNNTTTTTTTTTGCAATTAATTATCTGCAAATAACCACTCATTCACAAAGTTGAGAATTACTTCGAGCGTTCCAGTTGTTTTTTGCCCTTTTTTACAAATTTTTCGAAATCCAGTTTACTCTTCTTCAAATAGCTTGCTTGATTGCGATCGATCATCCATTACAGTTGATCAGAAGAACTTTGTCTTTGGCCTAAACCTTCGGAAGCGACCTGACCAACTTCTTTAGACACCACGCGGATCCATTTACACTGCTAAAAATAAAGCATGTATATCAGCCAGAGTCACCCCTCGGAATGAAGCTGCTCACTCCATCGCACGTACCCTGCTCTCATAACAGATGAATCTGTTCAGATGTATTCTATTGAGGGTTTTGCAACATCCAAATTTCAATAATGCCTGGCATAGCACGTTTCAGCTGCGGAAAAAGGCCTCACAGATTGATCGCTCACGGCTTTTGCGATGCTGTTGCTCGGCTCGCGCGACTAATCCATATTTCGACCGTACTGTAACCTGTAAGGATTTTTCTACGGCTGAAACGTGCCATGTCAGACACTATAGAAATTTGGATGTTGCAAAACCCCTAATAGCATACAACCGAACAAATTCATTCGTTATTTGGGCAGAGTACGTTTGGTGGCGTGTGCAGTTTCATTCCGGGAAGCAACGTGCATACAGCCGATTTGGTAAACTTGATACAGTCCTTCTTCCCGTTACCGGTGCGGATCAAACAAGGTGATTCCCCCATGGATCGGGCGGATATCAGTACGCCTTCAATGAAAATACAGGAAACCATGTGTGAAAGGAGTACCAATATCAAGGGAGTTCAGGAGGGAGCACCCCCGCAGTTAAAAAATCTACGTTGCCCTCTCGTAGGATCCACAGGATCGAGTCCATAAGGACGCATGCGGCTTTTTTCGATCATCGTTGACCAAATGCAGTTGTGATAGTTCCTACCGTTAGTCGAGTTCGTAATGTAGGGTTCTCCATGCTTGGAATGAGTTTTAAAAAAGAATAAAAATGAATACTGAACAAGTGAATAGAATATAGACCAAAAAAAGGATTTTTTTTATTATTGATCATTTAGTCGGCTTCAAACAATCTGATGCTTTTCATCCCATCACTTGCTACTCTTTCAACATCTCTGTGTAATTTGTACTTCGCTTACTCCTAATCACCTGTTCTTTCCTTTTTCAGAGGACTGTCCATTTATCTGGAGGTTGCTACTTCCGATTACCACTAATCAGAACCAGTCAGACATTGATTACGACAAAAAGTGAAACACATTCATCACTTTACACCTGAATTCAAATGCCGCCCAGGTAATATTGGGTTGATTTCGATTTTATTACTGGAATTCACCAGTCGTTTCTAATTTGCTTAAGAAGAGGTACAGTTTAGCCAATAAGTCAAACATCAGACAGACCCATTAACAGTTTTTTTTTGAAATATTTATTAAAAATTTATTTGTAGTTCTTGATTGAATATTTCCCAATCGAAGGATGCATGAACCATGAATCCACACTTAATGAAGAAATCCAGAAAAAAACCCCACAAATCTAAAAGAGGCACTGTTTGGGATTGAATTTTTTTTGAAAAAAAAAGAAGAACTTCTTTTCACCCGCAGAACAAGTAGGGATGCTAAGGATATGGGTATAAGGAATGGGAAATGAGCAGCACACGTATAACCCGTGGTTCAAACCCCCTAGATTCGTTTATATTTGGACTTGTTTGAGTCATTCAATTTTTCAGCAAATTTTGCCCAAATTTTTATGGAAATAGGCCAAGTGAACCATCAATTATCACTTCAGTCTTAAATAGTCAATAGTAATAGTCACCAAAGAGTAGAATGATTCAAAAAAGCCCATATTTTCATAGACGGATCGGTAATATGATGCGTTTTGAACCATCTCGTCTACAAAATTCATAGGAATGCCAAAATATTTGGAGGATAACCATAGATACCTTCGATTTTTCCAATGCATGGCTACCCGATTGAATTTTTAAATTTCTTTTTTTCATTTTCGTTTTCAGAGCTTTACAAATCGCCATCGAACTACAGCAGCACTTCTCGAAGGATGCTTTAGGAAAAGCTTTAGAACGTCTCAGTACAAATCCAAGACATCTACTTTTCTATCATCCCGTGAAATTCGAACTTCGTCGTACATTTCCTTTCACCAAACTTCACCTCTATTCCCATCAAACCAATGATACAACCTATTGGCTAGCTCATATTAAAAACAAATATGGCAAGTGAGTTTTGATCTATTTTTACCGTATTCTGTCATCCGTCATTTATTTTTTTGAAACCTCTATTGTTACCAAACGGCTGTGGCCAGGAGCCCACAGCTGTAAAGAATCTCAAGTACAGATCAATAGCTGTAGCTTTTTCAGGGACACGCCTATTTTTACATATGACGGCGTTTACAACGAAAACGATTTCCTACGTGCCTTTGATGCTTTTCAAAATCGTCACGATCTCTTCGGAAAGAGTTATCCGATTATTGTTGCTGAAGACAAAATCACGAATGCTGTGAGTTGGCATGGGGCCAAACTGCTTCAGCTTCTGGCTATTTGCACATAAATTGTGATTCCGTCCCCCTGGAGGTGACCTAAGCAAAAAATGGCAGAGCTATCGTAGTTGGGGGCACTTTATGGCAAGATGCGCCTTGTATTTCACTTTTCTTCAAAGTCCTGGACTGAGTCAGTAGTCATACACAAAGTGATAGAATTGGCCGATGTTCAAGACTGGGTTCAGACCACTCAAGTCAACCTGCTCTTTACCAACCATCGCTCAGGTAGGTAGATCGCCCTGTTTGCTCTTTAAGATTAGATGCTTGGCAAACGTTGCGCCTCATGAGAGCCACTTGTCTCCCACTGATCTGAACTAGGCTTCACAGATTGCTGTCCACTTCATGGCCTGGGAGTAACGGTTTTGTTCAGATTTTCTCACAAATGTCAAGCATGGATCACGACATCATAAAGCACAATTATGCTTGTCATCTCTTCTACATGACCGATGAACAACAGAAATTAGTTATGCAAGAGCGACTTCAGGTACCAGAAGGGTATACGATAGGTACGTGACTTTTTTTTGGTGATTTTGGATGTAGACACCAAAAGAACTTCGGATATCATGAATTTCGTACTCAAGCTGCTTGCTTATACCGATAACTGGCTACCTTTCATTCAAAAAATTATTATTTCGCATTGGCATGGGGAAATAAATCCGTTGTGTAACTCCGCAAGGTCTCAGACCCTGCAAACCCCGCCCACCACCAGGAGAGGCGTTGCTGGTCCAGGGTTCAATCTAAGCTGACAGCCTTCATCAGAAGTAGTCTCCGTCTGTGAACTCACTTTTTGCAAGAGTTCCTGGCTTAATTTGGAATAATAGAAATAAAAATAAGAAAGAAATTAAAAAACATAATGATTATCATCATCAGTACTACTAATACTGCCGCTATCACTGTTATACTGTAACTACTTTAATACTCATGGTTGTGTTGCTTCAGGAACGCCGAATCTTGACGAGGAGGCACACTGTATGACTGGCGCATGGCAGTATGGAGCCGATAGCGAGTTTGAGCTGACCAGGTACGATAGCTTCCCTACTCTGAAAAGAGGCCATGTTCGCATTCATGACTAAGTTTCTAAGTGGTCCGCAGGTCGCCCATAACCTGTTAGTTGTGGACATTTTCGATAAAAATTTGACATACGGGGAATTTTTCCTGGTTTCACTTGTGGGTAGTCATTTTCCACAATTCTAGCTAACAAAAAAATTATTTATCTCATTCTAGAGAAAAAATCCGTCGCCTGCCGTCAGTGTGTGTCCGAAAGGATGGCCATATGGTCGGTTTCTATGGAATAGAAGCCCTAGGCTGGCTGAACCATCAATTTGTCTTCCAAGAACATCGTCACAAAGGTCTTGGAACTCTGTTGGAATTGGCACATGCACAGAATTGTATTCGGCAAGTTCACTTCACAGAAAATCAATTTATCGATTGGGTCTTTTCGATAATCGATCGATTCACATTTTGCCTTTCAGGGCTGGACTGAAAGTCTGCAAACTGGTGGAGACACATAATTTATCGACATTTGAAGCGACAAAACGTTCGAAATTCTGGACACTTGTCCAGGAGGACGGCAAAGATGTTATTATCGATTATTTAGACATTTTTAAATAAACGTTAGGAATACTGTAATCACATCCCAATTACTGTAAAAAATGCAGTCCTCGTAACCCGATGTGCGCAACGTTGACGAAGAACATCACTGAAATACAAAAAGACTTCTGAGTACCGATCAATCAATAAATCAATAACGCCTCACAATGTGGTACAAGTATTGCAAGATCGTCGACAATTTTCTATCATCCATGGTTTTTTGCATTCGCCTGTACGAGACCATTTAGCACAGTCTTGATGGTAATCAGCACAATCTGAATGGATAGTCGATTTTTGTAGATGAGTAATCGGCCTTGGGGAAATCCATAAAATCGATATCGATTAGTACTTCATACCTCCGTAACGATATGGTGGTTGACATTGTTGACAGCTCACACGACACTGGCAGAGCATGAATACAGGATTCGTCCTGCATTCACCCTGATGGAGTAGATTGGATTAAAATATAAATTTACAAAAAAGGGATCTGTTTAAGTAAACAGAACAACAAAATGAGGGGGAAAAGGAAAATTAGCTATAGGAAGTCCTTCAATTCGAGGGCTTGCTCAAAAGCTGAGAAAATAAAGACTTTTGATAAACAAATTACGAGAATAAAACAAAACAGAGAAACGAAATTATTAGAAAAAAATGAAGAATTGGTAAATAAAAATATGACAATATAGTTGGCGGTTACTCAGGATATCATAATATACTTTGAAAAAATATAATAATTTAGCAGTCGGTTCCATGCAAGAAAAGGGAAATCAGTGATTTTGGTTGATCCATAGGTGATTCAAAAGTGGTAAGAAAATAAAATAAACGGCGTAATTCTTAGCTACAATTTTTTTCCACGGGGAATATGTATGCTTTCCAACCCCATCACAAATTCAAATACAAATCGAATGTGTGGCGCATCTCGAAAAATGGCTGACCATGACCAATTGCTTCAGTCCCTTTTCTTGACGTATTTCCCCCCGCTGACTTGCTCTAAATGATTCTTCAAGTGATTGGTGATTTTTATAAAAAAAAACCTGATACGCCCAAAAGGGACAACATTGGAACTCGTTGAAGCACATTGGTGAGTTGCATTTAGAAGCTGAAATAATCGATTCTCATATCTTGCACAGCTTGATGATCGATCCAGAAAATCGTTAACCTCCAACAACCTGTACTGGTGGAAGTCGTTGTACAGGTGCTGCAGTTGTAGTTGGAGCTGAAAAGCACTGAGAAACGTTAGGCAGCCAAAAAGCTTGAGGGCAAATAATTGAGAAAGGGGAAGCATGGCGCAACACAGAAAAATGACGTGGTTCTTTACCTGGGTCCCAGTTCTTATTTATAATTATTCAAAAGTATAACCATGGGCTAACCCTGAACTTGTCGACCACCACTGCATATCACCGATCTGGCCATTCCGCATTTCCCACAAGCACGTCGACAGTTTTCCGACATCCACAGCGGATTCTTTGTGCATTCGCCACTTCGCGACCACAAAGCACAGCTAGTGTGTCGATCTAGGCATTCTGAAATATCGCTCCATCAGTACCGTCACCGAAGTTCACAGCTACGGAAGCACTTTGCATAATGTACACGCCCGCGAAGGCTGCGTTGCGATCGAATTGCGACTTGTGCGGAACTCCGCCCACTCACCATTGTTCAGGTCGTAGTTTGGCTGGCACGTATGACACGATGCTTTGCACCATTGCAACATATATATGGGATTCTTCGGACATTCACCAATACCGGCCCAATACGAACAGCATTCATGTTCATTGAAACAGGTTTGCTGAAAAACAAAGAGTAGGTGGAGCTTGCGGCTAGTGGGCATGGCGTCCACCTGCTCGATTACTGTCCCAGGTGTAGCTTAGCATGTACATCTTCCGATTACTACACCTTTTCTTTATAAAACCCATATAATTACCACTAATTTCAGGTTTTTGAAAGAGAGAAGGGTTGGAAGTCCCGAAACACGCGGCACTATGAGATATCTAGCCGAGAGTCATCCCGTTTTCTAAGCCTAAGCCCTGTGAGTGTGGCTATGGGCCCTCCTACAACTGCCACAATGTATCTATGGAAAGTTCTGGTAATCTTGATTAGTTCCTGTAGGGCTAGCGCTAGGAGAAGCATCGACTCACCTGGGCAACTACCACAGGCCTTGGCGCTACAGTTGGTGGTGGAGGTGTAGCCTGAATGGATTCTCCTATACATCGTCCATCGATGCAACGGCCATTGTAACAAGCATCTTCGCCTGAAGGTAGTGTCTGACTATATAATGACCTTTTTTACCGAAATTAAGCTAACTGGTCGAATATTTATTAATTTGACAAGAATTTCGTGAAAAATTTCTATTACCATCAGTCATTTTCAGAAGGAATTGAATTGAGTTGACCAGTATGTTGATGAAAATAAGGTAAACATTAAGAAGAATAAACAGATAAATAGTTTTTATGCAAGTGGGCGTACCATTATTGAGACCTGTGCAATTTCCACCTGGCTTGATCTTCGATGCACATCTCTCTGGACCATGTGAGCGGTCACAGTACAAATACCTGAAGATAGTCATTGCATCAATATATCGTCAATCCTATAAGGTGCGATTTACTTCGATCCACAATCGTTCCCCATCAAACAGCTTGGACGCGGTGAATATGAATACATATTATCTGTAATCATGTAATGATGAATTTTTTGATAACGGTTACCGTAAGCGGCTGCTTTCATAGTCCGCGATTTGGCCCCCCGATCGCTTGCTCGCTCGCGAGCCGAATCGCGGACTATGGAAACAGCCAGCCGACCTACCTGTGTACTTATTCGACAGACCGTCAATGTTACGCATAGGTGGAAATGGTCGCATAAAAGCATTACGGAAGTGATGTTCACTACTGCACAGTTCGTTATCTTCAGGATAGGCTATTTCTCGCTCTGAGCGACTCTATGAATCAATAAATCAATGAACCAACTAATTATCAACTAGATCGAATCTCAGACCAAAAAAAAAGTTGAGCATGGACATCCCTTGTTGGCACTCTATAACTAGGATGTGGCACAACCAATCCTGGCTCTTACAATAACTGTCAGAAAGTTCATCGACGTGCTTGCCCAATTCAACTAATGGGCGGGTCTTTTTGGTGGGCGGGACTTTCTGGTGGGCGGGACTCACAAAAGAGAAGCTGATTTCAAATACTTTCCTGTTTTTTCCACGTCCACTATGAGCCAGTATTCTTCCATGATTTCACTATGATCTTTTTTATACTCTTTGTTTCCGAATCAAGAGGGGTAAAGGCTTGGGGGCCAAAAAATCAATAAATCAATGGAAGTACCTGCACGTTCTGCCGATATATCTCCCATATATAATCAACAAATGAGTGATGCATGTAGAAGATTGGATCATTTCCGGATGTCGCCTGTTCGAACATATCGCCACCAACGTAGATATGTGGATTTCCATGGGTGTATTCGAGTACGTTGAAATTTGGCGGGTATGGGCATCCCTTGAACAGTATTTCATCTCGGAAATTATTGTAAGTGCTGACGTAAGCCATGCTTCTCACTCCTATTCGAAATATTCGCATCAATTGATAGGCATACGTCTCTATCTTAGTGTTAGTGGCGCCTCCTTAGGGTACATCACTAACCGTCAGAGAATTCAGAGACACTTTGTGAATGACAGTTGAACGACCCACCGGCCTAGGAGCAGTGGAGGCAAGCACTTGGCTGATATCATTCTGGGATAGAATGAAACGAATCTCGTCCTCTGAAAACAGCTTTCCTTTCTCACCCACAGCTCGTTGAATCCTCGGGTGTCCCTGAAAAAGGAAATATCCGGTTATCGATAGTGTTCCGAGGTTCGTTACGAAAACTGATCTCATCTCAACTAAAGTCCCAAGATTGATGCCTTACTTCCAGCGTTCGCCATTCACGGAACGGCCCTCCCACTACATATCCTCCAACGGTCTCGCCCATGAACTCATTCGTCCAAATAATCGAATCTTTTGAATCCGGCATATTTTCATCGAGTGTTGAATCCCAATAAGGTAATGCCACTTCAGGATCAACTTGACGCAGAGCGATCTCTACCCTGAAAGCCTTAACAATCGATCGCTATCATTTCAATTAGGATTACAGATTTTCTCAGAGAACCTCTTGATAAACTCTCTGTGCCATGGAAGGAATGCCGGTCCAGAATGCGCACCACCGCTGGACGCGAACTGAGCGTGAATGGACGCAAGTCGGTCGAATTCACCGCTAAAGTAATCAATGTCTATCTAACTCATTGGCAACACAGTGTTTTTGTTGTAGAAAAATATCCGAATGGGAAATTGCTTGAATGCTAAACGTTCCTGCTTTGATCACTATCTCACCTGCTTTTGATAGCTTGAAATGCACTATGAACTCGACCTCTTTCCTCATCGCTCAATTGTCGGTACTCTTTACGAAGTGCCTTGCCGAGGTTGCGGTCCTGTACCGTACAGGCTGCTCCGACCGATCCTAAATTTGATTTCAAGGATACCCTAAAAGGAACGTTTATATTTTACACGTATGAATAAATGAATCAATAAAATAAATGAATAAACACCCATCTTAACGATAGCGGAGCTCGAAGTTGTATTAGAGTATCAGAAAAATTGTACCAACTCACTTTTTTCCTCCTCNTAACGATAGCGGAGCTCGAAGTTGTATTAGAGTATCAGAAAAATTGTACCAACTCACTTTTTTCCTCCTCTACGCCGCTCTTGACTAGAGCTTCAGAACTCGAACTGCTGAGGTTAGCTCCACCCACATGAGTGCGCGCTCCGCCTTCCGGTCTGAGTGAGCTAACCTCAGGTGTATTTTGCCCACAGTTTATTACTCTACACGTAGATTCGCGGAACAGCCCTCTCACGTATTTGTTATAGGTCATGAAGGGCACCAAGTCATCAGAAAGCACAAAAAGTCACTGCGCTTTCTTTGGTGCTTTTTAATTCATCGAACTCGACTGACCAATCCTTTTATACGCTTAACGAACCTCTGAAGAACACACACAGGCACTGAATATCCATGCACTGATACATGTTGCTGGCGATCGGGGCGAAATCGGCTGCCATTTGGGGTTGGCCTGCTATCGCAGGGGGCTTCACTGATATGGCCGATGGTGTTTTCTGAAATGAGGTTGATAGCCGCCCTTATAGGTGCACTTTCACTAGACTGAAGACCTGCTCTACTACGGTATACCGTTACAGTAATCAGGTGCCCAATGATTGGATCTGAAAATGGAACAGCAACACCGTTCATTTGATAAGTTCGGAAAGTTGATTCATTCATTGATTGCTGTAGTTTTATTCGTAATCATTGATTGAAAATTTGACTTACTCTGGAATTTTCGTCCNATTCATTGATTGCTGTAGTTTTATTCGTAATCATTGATTGAAAATTTGACTTACTCTGGAATTTTCGTCCCATCGCTGCAGTTGTTGGCAAACGATACGTAGTGCTTCTGAGGGAGCCTGGTTACAATCAATTGAAAGGGCTGCTACAACCAGAGAGAGCAACACAATAGTAGACAAAGGTGACAGAGCCGGAAACATAGCGATTATGTAAGATTGGTAAGTTGTCCTGAAACTTCGATTACTCCGAAAAAATAAGCCACAGTAACAGTAGTAATATGCGGAATAATAAAGTCAGTTCAGAAAGGAACGTAGCTGAGACAACATGATTGTGTAAAGAAAGTCATGCAACTGCTTTGATTGAAAGTACGCTCAAACAACAACTACAGCGGTTGTAGTTGTTTTGCTTCAACTGACTACCACAGTTTAACTTATGTGATGGCGATCAATCAATTTGGTAAATAGTTATCGAGCGATCAGTAGAAGAAGGTTTGCATTGAAGTCGAGATTGAAATTCGACTTTAAAGAACCTTACTTCATCAATCTTCATTGATTGTCCTGAGGTTTTTGGAGCTTCTAAGGCCTTGAACAAAGGGTAATGTACTCAAAAGTTCTATGCTAAGTGGTCCTTCCTTCAAATTCGGAGCTGTATAGTTGATTTATTCTAGGCCTTACTAAAAAATAACTTTTTTAAAGATTTTACTTTTAAGGGCTGTTCTTGTTGGACCCTACTATCGGAGGGCTTCGCCTTTACAAGACAGGGGCCAAAGGCCAGTCAGCTTAGGCTAAGCAGTCTTCTATAAGAGGAGGACTCGCCAGGAGGGTCATACTAATATGAAGCTTCAAAAATCTACAGACAAAATTTTTGCTGTTGTTTTCTGGCACAATTGGTTTTCATGTTGCTGCAATAGTTAGGGCAGTGTGCATGGCGATTCATCCACCTATTTAGCTACTCCGATTCGAGCTTGGGATGACATTTATGTCCACATTCAGCCATATAGTTGTTTCCCTTGCTTACTCTCGCTCCCGAACACTGAATCTGAGTTAGTGCGGCCGTATGTTGGATGCGATCCAGTGTTTTTACGAAGAGTAACGGCGCCTTCTGTCGCTTTTAAAATTAAGTTGGCTCACTTCAATATGAATATACAATAAGTTACAACTTTTTTACAATCACAACCTGTCTCTCATTTTCTGAAACCTTGCCCCAAGATCTCAAGGTAACCGCAAACCACGGCCGACATGACACGACATTTGTCGATGACAGTGTAATCGCTTCCTGGCTTATCCTCTACCTCGTGGCATCCACCAATCATTATGTCACCGATGTCTTCGACCAGATCCAAACCACCTCACCGCATAGTGTAGCAGCTCGCCTGGGCAAGTACAACCTGCAACTGCATTGCAGAAAACCACTGGGGTGATGCCCTTTTTTCCAATCCATTCCCCCTGTGAATCGTAGGCAGTGATTAGCTGAACAAAAGTCTGGTCGTTTACGATTCAGAACTCGATCCCCGGATTATGGGATCGACAAGTCACCAAGATGAAGGAATTCTAAACGGCAACAACAACGGCAATTCGTTTGTAAAGAGATCATTCACTGGTCGTGAAGAATGCTTAGAATAACTCATGTGGAGTCTTTAATCAGCTACTAAACAGTTGAGGCGATTCGTGTAGGCAGCAATCTTTGGCATCGATGAGGCTGTCTCGAAAAACTTGGTAAGACCCTCTACATAGAGTAGTATGGATGAAAACAGTGAAAATACGAAATGGCTAGAGTTCCGATGGCAAATACCAACCATCACTGTTTTCCATCATGTCAATCTCCTGCGTGAGTCAAGCCGCTGGGGAAACTTATTTTAGTAAAAACTGAGCATTAAATATCGATCGATCCTCTTTCTCAGGGTGAGCCATGCGCACAACTTCCACTTGGTTTTGGAGTAGTTTTTGAATACACGTTTGACCGCAAAGTGCTCTTTTTCTTCCAGGGTAAACTGCCTTCTATGGGTCAAACTCAGAAATTGGAACTTAAATGGATTAGGATTAAGTGCTCAATTAGATCCAGGGCCCTTATATGCAATGACGACGTCGCTTTTGTAACCTTCATTGCCATCGTTGGACTTCACTCATGCAACTTTACTTACGATTAGTCAGAGAGGTATTTTGAAAAGTATGAAATTCCAATTGTTGCCATCGTCTGAAAGGCGTGCGTTCATCGAAGATCAATTTGTCAATTTGACCTACCGTTGGAGCTATTGGGAAAAGGCCTGCAAATCGATAGTCCACCAACGCTGCTTGGCGTTATCGACAGCGATGTGTACCCCATCATTTATTGATTTACTTCTGTTTTTTTTGTACTAATCAGCTTTTAAACATCCACTCTCTTCTTCAGCTGATCTCAAACCTGATGACAAACTTGTGGAGTTCACTAAGAAACGTAAATATGTTGGGATTCCGAGTCACTCTTCCTAGATTTTCACTTCTCTACCTGACTTTGCTGTTATGTGTGTTTGCTACCCTTTCTATAGTTTTTTCAGCTATATAGTCACATTTACAGGACATCTCTCTTACTTTTCTGATTTCGATTGCTCAAAGCAAGTACGACTAGTCGGTGGCTTACCTGGAGCGCTTCTAGAAGAATTCAATAGGAGCCAGGCGTAAGCCGGTGATAAGGTGAGCTTCTCTATCCTCCGGTTTTTCATCCAAAACATTCTAAGCAATTGGTGGCATTAGTCAGTGATTCTTCTTAACAGAAGGAAACTTCTCGCGACCTTACAGTACTTCGCAAATTTTCGAGGGAAAAAATTTCACGGTTTTTACGCAGATACTCGAAACTTTTTCGAGTAATTACTCGAAAAACCGCTTGTACTCGAAATATCAATGTTGTGGTGGCAGTGGCATGCATACGGTAACTGTAGTTAAAATAGTCAAAGAAAGAAGCTTTCCAAGCTGTAGTTACAGTACTCATCATAAGGAGCCATGTGATCCTTTTCCTCCTCAAATCATAGGCAGTGATTAGCCGAACAGAAGTCTGGTCGTTTATGTTTCAGAAATCGATCCCTGGACTATGGGATTGTCAAGTCAACAATAACGTGAAAGGAGATGATGATGAGCAGACTTACTTGCATTTTTATGGCCTCTCCTACGTCTACCTAATGCATCCAATCAGGTTGTTGAGCAAAGTGTGGAAAACCAAAGAAAAAAAAAACCAAAAAAAAATAGGTAAAGGGTCTCGAAATATTAAAATGAAGCTTGGATTTTGAAAAATGTAATTGCTTATATTATGTATTGTGATAAACGGAAAGTTTTTCGCTTTATTGCTTTGTTTCGTTTCTTTTTGCATGAGTCATTCGTATTTCACCTCTTTGGAGTTGTGACCTAGGTTGCACTAACAAATAAATAAACAATGATAGTAATGTAGTTTAAAAGAACTGAAAGGATGTGAAGAGCTCCTGATTTCTTAGTCTTTCTTATTCCCTTCAAGGATTACTTTTTCCGAATGTGTAATGGATAGTTAAGGGCTAACCCCATGTTCCCAGTATCACCACTTTGTCACACTTTATGCTCACATTCCCGTGAGATTGATGATATGTTGTAACTACAGCGTCGGATGTTGCCAGCTCTCCCAACTGCCACCACCATCACCACCACCGCCACCACCACCGATCACTCCGACCACTTCCACCACAACTCACCTGATCACTCCAGCTTAGTTCACTCATTTCCTGGAACTTGTGTTGTACCAATAACTATTTTTTGGGGAAGAGACAAGACAAATTAGGAAAAGTTCATACCCTGCCATCAAGGCGTTCGCAGCCAAAGAGATCTTTATCAGCTGAGTCCTTCAGTAGTTGAGACGAGCTGACGGATTTCAAAGCTCTCCATTAATTTCGAAACTTCCGCTGACATCGGAACTTTACTATTCGTATGAATTAGTATTAATAATTATTATTTACTTTTCGACTCATTTTACTATATTGAATCTAATATATTATATAACTGATAATCACTTTTGAATTTTATTCGGACTTTTTCAGCATAGATCGTTCAGTCAACCTTTCAAAATGTCTCCTTACTGAGTAGCGATACTACATGAACGGGTTATCAAAAGTTATTTTAAAAATATTACTCTAGCATGTTGGACTGCACTTCTAATGGCCATTTTAGATAGGGATACTCTAAAAAGAGCTCAACCTTGCTTATAAACTGAATGATGTTCATATTTCCTCGATGACTACCAACAAGAAGTCCGTTTTCATCCCCTACACCTTTTTGAACATTAAAGCCGGTGTAAGTGTAATTTTGGTTTTTACTTGGTCCCTGACACAGGAGGGTCAGGAGAAGCCAACCCTGTATGATAGAAAGTTCGGTTTACCTGGGCGAGTTGGTACCACTAATAGAGGAGGGGCGGAGGCGAGGTGCCGTGCTGGCATATCAGTTAGAGAGCTATTTCTTTTGAGAGCACAACTTCGGGTTTGGTTTTCGTGTTTCTCGCGCCCACTATCGTCGCGGTCATTTCTATGTTCTTAGCGCACTTTCAGTTTCTCGTGTTCGTCACTTTGTACATACAAAGAGTCATTTATCATCATGACACATGCGTTTCCACATTATGTCTCATACGCCGTTCTCACTATTTGCAGCGAGAGTTTCGAATTTGAACTTCCGTAATTAATCACTGTCGGCATGGCATAGGGTCTAGAGGTCCCAAACATGTTTGTAAAGCTTTGAACGAGACGGTACAGCTTTATTCGGCTCACCCTTTCGCCCTTGACGCCGTCGACATTGCCTGTAAGCTAGAGATACTCGAGACTTTTCTATTGAATGTTATTTCAGATGAGAATTCAATTCAAACATATGCTCAGGAGTCCTAGACGTGCTGAGTAAGTCACAGCACGTTAACCAGCTTTGGATAGAAGGTGGAAAGCTCAAATAGTTGATGAGAAGAGCTGACCCTTGGTGATTTACAAGTTCAACCGATGTATCTTCAGCTCAGGTTTGAACCGAACTGATGGAAATTTCTAAAGATTTATCTTGTTAGAGTCAAGAGCTTATGCCATTCCCAACAGAAAGCTCTTGAGCTCGCTAGTATTTGCGAAGGTTTGAACTGTGTTTTTCTCCGGCATTTTTTATACTTGATTCTGATTACCTGTTAAAGCTGTGTCCAGTACAGACGACTTTCACTCCCGTGATCAACTACCATATCA